CTTAAGAATTGGAATGGGGTTTTGGGCCCCTTTAATAAGGAGCCCAAAGAAACAATATTGGTAACTATATTAAGGGTTTAGGGTTTAGGGTTTAGGGAGCCCAAAGAAACAATATTGGTAACTATATTAAGGGGTTCACGCTTTAAGAGGATTACGGTTTTGGGTGCTTGGAGGGCTCTGGTTCTTCTGGCCTCCAGTCGGGTTCACGGGCTTCGTTGGTCGAGAATCGGGCCACATGCACATCTTTATGTGCAACATATGCAACGTCTCGAAAATCTCCTTATCAACCCTATGCCCTACGCATTGCCAGGTTCCATGGGTTCCGCCCCTCGGACCGCAAAACAGGTTCCCTTCAACGTGAAACTCTTACTGGCAGCTTCAATTCAAAGACAACGGGAACATTAGCACGAAGTTGCCGCCCGTGCCTTGCAACTCCCTACAAATTAGTAAACCCCTGAACAAACATTTACAAACCAAAAAGCCCTATCACGCCCATATCATGCCGTGCGGCGGTCGCAAACCGGAAGCGCCGGGGTCCGTTTCACGGAGCCGGGTGCTCGCGCATGGGTGTTCACCAAGGTGTACTCGACATCCTGGTGGGGTAGAGAGCCCCTTCAAGGTTATTAATAACGGAATACCTTAACCTACCAAAACCTACTTTTTCTAGGGCCCGTCGGAAGTCCATATTTGGACTCATAATAACAACCTACTGCAAGAAGGAGGTTGTGGTAATCTAGGGTAACGGTTTAGGGTCTTTTCTTTTGAGCCCAGGCTCAAATCCTGCATCAGCCGGGCCTGGCTATAGGGCTTGTGACGCTGACACCCGGACAAGTCTGGGCAAGGTCTGCAGAACTCACTATGAAGGATTTTTCCATGAGTTAGAGTTAAGGGTTACCATAGAAACTATCATAAACGTTCTATACGTAAGGGTGTTGTTGTTCTGTTTAAGGGTCCGAAGGACCTCAAAATCAGGTACATGGGTGACCATGGGTGTAGGATAGTAGTAGTGCAATTTGTTTTTTTGGGGGAAGGGGGGTACCCGCATCGTTATTAGCTACTCGGATTCTCGTGGTTTTGGGCTTTCAGCACTTCAGAGTTTAGCTAGGACTTACGCTCTCGTTAGCTAGGACTTAGGATTTAGGGTTCAGGACCTTATCCACAGTGTCGTGGCTCAGCAGCTGAATTCGTGCTGAGCTCCACATTTACAGCGCCCACATTCCAGCCGACAGCGCGCATCATCCAAAGTAGACCCTGCCACATTGCTTAGCGGCCTGTCGGCTTCAGCCTTCATGTCGTCGTCATGACAATCATCGTCATGACAAGGCCGGTTAGACAGGAAATTGTCAGCAGCAGAAAGAACAAAACTTCCATCGCCGTCAGCAGAAATGTCTTCATCATCATCGTCGCTTTCGTTGTAGCGCTCGCCGTTGTCAATGTCATCACCGTTGCATACGTCATATCTCAACCCCGCCGCAGACACGAAAAATACAAACAAATAAAAAGAGGAACCTTACCGCGAAGGAGGACAGGCCCAAAGAGTCCTTGGAGCCTAGCTGCCAGTGAAGATAAGCCTTGCAAGTCGCAAACTTCGTGCGTTGGGATTTCAGCAACCCGGTTCAGAGCTGTGAGGCGCACAGGACTGCACTTTTCACCCTTGCCTTTAAAGTGGAAGACCGCAAGTTTCGAGGAACTAATCTCAGTTTAAGCAGTCACTCCGTGCTCACTTGTTCTGCTGATGGTGTTGACACAAAGATTGGTTCAGCATGACCTGATAGGGTGCAAGACGAGTCCTCTTAGCGGGTCCTTACCGGAGTCCCTGTTGTAGCTCCTTCTAGGGTCCAGGGCTTGGCGTCCTCGACGCATTTTACCTTGCATGTGGTTCACGGCCCCGAGTTTACGATTGCGAAGACTATGACATAGCCATCCCATTAGCTTGCGGATGAGAGCTTTGGATTCAGAAGTTCGACTTCGGTTGGAGCTTCGGAAATACTCTAGTGCAGTTTCCAGAAAAAAACCTGACAAGGCGCCAATATTGACAACGGCAGAACCAAAGCGTCCGCCAGAATGTTAACGCGAACAATCCCACTTTTCCTATAGCATCCCTGCGCGACCTCCCTCCTCCCCTCCCGCCCTGCCTGTCTGCTGGCTCGCACGTTAAGGTTTAGGGTTTAGGGTTTATAGGGTTTAGGGTTTAGGGTTTAGGTTCAGGGTTAACGGCTTTAGCCCCTGACCCCAAAAACTGTTCATGCGTCTGCGCCACCCTGTGGCTGAGGAGGCAAAGGTCGTACTCCTCCTCCTTCTCCTCGTCGTCCTGGCCGCGCGCACCAGGTCTCTGGCTTTCCATTTGGAAACTACCCTAAACCCTAAACCCTAGACCCTGGGGGTTTAGGGCTTTGGATTTGGGAATGTTAAAGGCTCCTGGAGTCGGTTCTGACATTTAGATGGCTAAGGGGTTTAGGGTTTAGAGTTTAGGGAGCCCGAAATTTATAGACACAAGGTCAATTCAAATGGTTGTTTTGATCCTGCAGCTTTTGATTCTGGGGGGTGCAAGGTTGTGCAAGGCTTCGGCTGTTGAAACCCCGCAGCATGAGCCCCTAGCACTGCCACGGGCCCCATACAAAAGATCGATTTTGCGCATGTTCCAGGAGAGCTTCAGATGGCACGCGTAGTGGTCTGTGTTTGTAGAGGCGCCCTCAAGGCCCTATACTCATATATATATATATATATATATTCATAGATAGATAGATAGATAGATAGATAGATAGATAGATACGTAGATAGATAGATAGATAGATATATATATATATATTGGAAAACCTGATCGAAATTCTACCAAAACAGTGGTGCTAGAGGCTTGTGGGCTAAATTTGATTTGCGGTAACTGAACCTTTCGGGCCTTAGAATGATGGGCAGATCCCAGTAAGCTCCTTGGCTCCTCAGACCCCGAAACACCCTTGAAAGGCGCCTCGAAACATGCAAGATACTGCAGCCCTGGCCCTAAACCCGAGAGCCAAAGTGCCATGGCCATCCTCTCGAGTATCATCATGAAATTCTTTTTGCTCCTCATGTTCATCACCATCACCCCAGAACATGTCATCGTCAACTGCATCCGTCTGAGTATAATGCAGTGTACATCTTCCGTGAAAACATCTGCCGTACGATCGGACACTCAATCAGAACGTGTTAAGAGTGGAAGAAAAAGGGATCCTGTTTATGAGCCATGAGATAGCCCAAACAGAAAAGCAACAAGGGCTCCCAGCCAGCATTGAGCAACAGTCAGCAAGGAGTGGTTTGAAAGTCGTGATGTGCTTACGCATCTCTTTCGACCAACTGGGGTCAAAAGACGATTTCGGGCTGGCGTAAGTCTTATTGAGTGCATGAATACTCTAAGATACAGCACGTTCGCGGCACTCGCGAAGACGATGAAGACCGCCAGGTGCTCTTCCAGCTCCAGTGAGCCAAAGCCAAGTATCCCGAGCCTCTCAAACCCGAGCTGCCTCTCCAGATCATCCGCCTCGTGAGGTAAGCAATGTGAGCATGATGCTCGGCCGGCAACTTCCAAGCTCATATCGAACCTAAGACGTCAGGAGGCACGGCAGGGTGACAGCCATATGATCTGCCATGGTCGAGCCTTGGCAAGGACTCCAGGGGACACGTATACAAAGTATTCAGACATCGATAGTCTGCATAACCCGTTTGTCAAACCCCTATAGACACCTTCCAGGAGCTCTTAACTCTTAAGCCTTAGAAATGGTGTAGTTAGTTTTGTGATAGACGACCCTTTAGCGTCAAATAGAGTCACAGTGCAACTATCAGCTGTAAAGCCCTTATCGAAACCTTCGAGGAGTTCGTGCAACAAAACTCTCCTAAACCATCCTAACCCTAATCCCTCAAGTCGTATGATATGAAGGTTTCCGAAAATAGGGAACCCTAGTATAGTACCCTAAATAGTAGGATCCGGATTACAAGGACCTCAGAATAAGGTACCCCGTATTTTCGGAAACTCCCATATAACCCGAACCCCTAAAATCGTAAACTGCACCTCCTCATCGTCAGAGCTGGTCTCGTCAGACTCCTGGGGTTTCCTCGGCCACAGAAACCCTCTAGGGTTTAGGGTTTAGGGTTTAGGGTTTAGGGTTTAGGGTTCGCACATGATAGGGTTTAGGTGATCTGCAGGATGTGGAGGTAGGGGGTGTGTCTTTGTTGCTTAGGGCCGTAGGCTTTTCTTTGTTTTAAGGGGGTTTGGGCCTTCGGTTTGAAGGTTTCTGGGCTTCGGGACTTTGGTCTTGTAGGCTTTAGGGCTTTAGAGCTTTAGGTTTCGGGGCTTGAGGTTTCAGGGTTTTGGGCTCTTTGGAGTTTGGGCTCTTTGGAGTTTTGGGGTTAGAGGGCGAAATCCCGATACTTCATGATTTGGGGTGGGGGGCTCCAAGTCATACCGGTGACATATATATATATATATATATAGGGTTCCCTGGTTCCCTTATAAGGTCTCGATACGACTCCTGACTCCTATGTGGAATCATCTCCACACTCCAGTGCGAAGAATGAGGGTGGCATAGCCCACCCCCCCCAAGGCGAAGTACACTTAAGCCGGAAGGCGTTGTAGGCGGGATTGGGGAGAGTCGTAAGCTCAAAGGGCTTCCTTCTTGTTCGGAATGCCTCCTGCGCAGGTCTAGAGAATCTACAGGTTCGGGGATCCTGCGGTGTGTAGGGGTGTCGCGATTGGGGCTTGAGAAATTTGGGGGTTGTGGGTCTAGTGTTACAACGTCCCAGGCCTACGAAGCTCTGAAAGTAGTCATGCTACCTCAACCTTTATTGAATCCCTCAGGCACTTCAGCCGTAGACACCGGCTGAGGGCTTAGCCTAAACCCTAAACCCTAGACGCCGGTTTAGGGCTTCGTTTTTTTCGTCTTTTGTTTCGGGTTTCCTCCCAGAGGCCCCTTCCGCCAAGGCGAAGGGCTTTTTTGAGGCTTAGGGTTTAGTTTGTGGGTTTAGTTTGGGGTTTAGGGTTTAGGGTTTAGGGATGGCATTCGAGTACCTTCGGCTCTGCTCGATTATTCTAGTAGCCTACACCCTAGCAGCGAGAAGACCGAACATCTTAAGGTTCTACTCTGTTCTATTGCCCCAAACCCCAAACCCTAGACTATATCACATTCTTGCTCCATGTCTTACTTGTCCCGGATGAACTAGGGGCTGACTTTTGGGAATATACCTATATATATATATATATACACAAAGTATATATATATATATGTATGTATTCATATATGTATGCATACATATAAATATATATATATATATATATACCAGTATGTGTATCCATATGTACCAGAGTAACGCCACAAAGCTGTTGGTTACCTCCTCTACTACTACGATCTGGCAATGAGAATGTACCTTTGCACTCCGAGGCTCAAGACCAAGCAGGCGGCGCCCGATTGGATGAAGTCGTAGAGGCTTTGGACTCCCGGAGGCAACCCCCTTGGAGGTAGGGTTCAGGAGTTTAGGGTGAAGGGTTTTAAGGTTTAGGGTGAGGTTGCGGTTGGTATCGTAGGTTTGGCTCGGTGGGGTTTTGAGGTGGCTGAACGCTCCTGGAACGGCTTGCTTTGACGGGTTTACAGGGTCAGTTCAGGCTGCAAGGGAGATGCAAGGCCGGTTTTGATGGGCTTGGCATAGAGTCTGTGAGAAGCCACGAAGCTTTCGTTTAAAGTCAGGGATGTCAACTGTAGGGTGTAGTGTTGAGAATCTTGTGCTTGGGTCCTAGGGTTTAAGTTTAAGACTTGTGTTGCGGGGCTTCCGGGGTCTACAGCTGGGAGGCTTGCTTCAAGCCATTTTAGCCTTCGGATTCGGATTGAAGCTGAAGGTAGAAGGCTTCGGCCCTTGGCTCTCGGATTGAGCTTCTGTGTGAGGGCTTACGGAATTGTGTCAATCGTTTGTTTGTGCTTGGGTCTCTTGCGATGCCAGGCTGCTATTGGCATTGGGAACCCGCCCTAACCCTAAACCCTAAACCCTAAACCCTAAACCCTATAAACCCTAAACCCTAAACCCTAATCCCGTGGGGGGGGCTCCTTAACTAGTAGGGGTAACCGCTTCAGGGGAACTTCTGATAGGGATCCTGCAGCTCTCGCTGTTTAGGATCGATGCCTTTGACCCCAAACCCTAATCGCGACCTGACGCCTTTAAACTCAAAACCTACCCTAAACCCTAAACCCTAAACCCTAAACCCTAAACCCTAAACCCTGAACGCACGACAGCCTGGTAGGCTGGCTCTGACCCAGATCAACCGCGTGGTCGTTGAGCCTGAGGTGCGCCCAAAGCCCGGGTGTAGGGTTCTGGGGTTTGCGCTCGCATGTTCGGATTCGGCGAATGATCGAGGTTGTTGGTACGCAGTCGGCAAAGGCAACAGTACTCACTCCTGCAGCACCACGGATGCCTCAAGTGAACATACCTTTACAAAACCCAGCAAATCACTAGAAACCTATATCAGAGCTACAACTACTCAGCTACTCCCAAGATGCTGCAATGCCTCAGTGGAGAACACCCGGTTCCCAATAAGCCTACAGTCAAACCATAATAGGAGCCTTCTTAATAGTTAGAATAGGGTCTGGGGTAATATTCTGATATAATCCTAACATGCAGCCCTCAAGCCCCCAAGCAATAGAAAAGGTCGTTCTTGAGGCAACTATACCATCAACTGTCAATAAGCCTACTTACCCAACTCACCTTGGAATTTAGCACGGACCAGAGCCCGCAGATCTAAACTACTCACTGCCTCAACCTCAATCCGCTAAGCCCTGAAACCTAAAGTCTCTCCCAAGACAACCTTGAAGCTCACCTTATTCAATCACTGTCCCAAACCCCCCAGGTACCTACTATATAGGGTACTAGAGCCCCTATACCCTAAACCCGTTTACACCTGGACTACGCATATGCCAAACCCTAAACCCTAAACCCTAAACCCCTAGGGCCCTACATAGTAGGTACCCTATTATATAGGGCACTAGAGCCCCTAAACCCTAAACCCTAAACCCAAAACCCTAGTAGGTACCTATTATATAGGGTACTAGAGCCCCTAAACCCTAAACCCCTAGGGCCCTACATAGTAGGTACCTGGAGGGTTTGAGTGTCTCATTTTGCAGCGAGGCTACACTTTCACAAGCTCGCCCGCTCGCCTCGGCCTGACAAGAATGATTCGGCTTAGGGTTTAGGGTTT